TGAGAGGAAGTGGTCCCTGACTAAGCGAAGAGAGTCAGGGAGCCGGGTGACTATGTAGTAAAGGGTGATGTACATGGGGGGGGGGTTCTTGGCGCAGAACTCAGCAGGAAGCGCAACGCGGTAGCGAGTGTCACTAGTGCGGAGGTGCGTAATGAGGTCAGCGACTGTGGGAAAGGCAGCAAGGTCAAGGAAGAGGTACGGTAGCATGAGGCGGCTCAGTGCAGTAGTGGCAGGGGAAGAGTAGCGTGCAACTACAGCGTCGTACAAGGTCTGAGCACTCTTGTACTGGCTGAAGTGTGCACGCTCAGTGGTCGGTAAGTGGCGACGCACAGCAAGACGGGTAGCAGCATCGCGTGTCGCCCTCTGTGAGCGAACAGTGCTGTCAGCAGTAGCAGGCGGGGCAGGGGAGGCACCAGAGGTGAGGTCGAACAGAGAGAGGCCGTGTGCCCTATCGCACTGGAGGAAAAGCTGGAGGTCATCGATCCAGACCTCAAAGTCAACAGCACGACCCTCGGTGTCAAAGGTAAGAACACTGGGGGTAGCCATGACTGCAGAGGTCTAGCAAAGAGTGAGCTCACCAGTATGGGTAAGGAGGGCCGGGGCGCGTTGGTAGGACTGGTAGCAGCTCGACGGCAGGGCGGCTCGGCGGCTCAGCTGCTGGGCTGCTGGGCGGCTCGGCTGTCGGGCGGCTCGGCGGCTGGGCGGCTCGGCGGTCAGTTGCTGGGCGGCTCGGTGGCTCGGCTGGTGGGTGGCTCGGCGGCTCGGCTGCTGGGCGGCTCGGCTGTCGAGCGGCTCTGCTGCTGGGCGGTTCGGCTGCTTTGCTGCTGGGCGGCTCGGCGGCTCTGCAGCTGGGCTGCGCGGTAGGGGCGTCTTGGGGCCGTTAGGGGCGGCGACGGGGCCGCTTAGGTGCGGTGACGGGGCCGCTTAGGGTGAGAGGCGGCGACGGGGCCAGCAGGTGCGGCGACGGGGCCGCTAGGTGCGACGACGGGGCCGCGTATGGGCGGCGTCGGGGCCGCGTAGGGTGAGGGGCGACGACGGGGCCGCTAGGGGCGGCGTCGGGGCCGCTAAGGGCGGCGACGGGGCCGCGGAGGGGCGTCGATGGGGCCGCGTAGGGGCGGCGACGGGGCCGCGTAGGGTGAGAGGCGGCGACGGGGCCGCTAGGGGCGGCGACGGGGCCGCTAAGGGCGGCGACGGGACCGCGGAGGGGCGGCGACGGGGCCGCTAGGGGCGGCGACGGGGCCGCGTAGGGTGAGAGGCGGCGACGGGGCCGCTAGGGGCGGCGACGGGGCTGCTAAGGGCGGCGACGGGGCCGCGGAGGGGCGGCGACGGGGCCGCTAGGGGTGGCGACGGGGCCGCGTAGGGTGAGAGGCGGCGACGGGGCCGCTAGGGGCGGCGACCGGGCCGCTAAGGGCGGTGACGGGGCCGCTTAGGGGCGGTAACGGGGCCGCGTGAGGGGCGACGACGAGGCCGCTAGGGGCCACTAGGGGCCTGGAAAGGGCGGCAAAAAGCGCGCCTTGGGCAGGAGCGTTTGGCGCTCCGGTCAGAAGGGAAGTTTTCAGTGGTAGGCCCAAGGTAGCGTTCCCACTAGGGAACCTGCTCTAATACCATGTGAAGAATGAGGCTTATGGCCCGCACGAACCGCATATGGCGATCCTTCAGCAGCAAGAAGTACAAGCTGCCATCCTCGACAACCAGTGCCTCCTCGGCGTCTGAGCACTTGTCGGGGAAGGTGTGCTGCGCCAGCTTTCCTCCGATGCACGAGACACACGGCGGATCTGCTCCGGTCGATGGCGTGATGTTGAGCCCAACAGCAACTCCATGCTTCGCCGAGCTCTTGATCGTGTTGACGCTGACGTGCGCGAGCCTCGCATGCAACCGGTCAGGGGTCGACTTCGTCGCCGAGACGATCGTCCGCGGAGCCACCACCTCGGTCGTCGGTGACCACGTCGAGCAGGGGCGAAGGTCGGTGCAAAGGACTCGTCCGGTGTAGCGTGCTCGACCGAGCACCTCCCCGGTCGAGGCGACGAGCAACATCTCGTCGCCGTCGCCCTGCAGCTGCACTCCGCTCTCCATCAGCTGGCCAGCAGATAGCAGGTTTGCTTCTACGCCCGGAACGTAGAGCAGATCAGGGATGAGGACCCGCTTCCCGGCCTCCCCTTGCAGAGCGACGGTTCCGCGGCTCTCGACTGGCTGCAGCGGCCCGTTGAATCCACGCACGTGCTTCATACCGTCGCTCTGCACCATGTTGACGAAGACCGCCTTCGTCTCCATCAGGTGGTGGGAGCACCTGCTATTGAGCAACACCGCCATCGGGTTGGCCTGCACAGCTGCCGCCACCGCATGGAAGTCCTCGCCAGCCTCCGGTGCCAGCGGGACTGTCGTCTCCACCACGCCGACCATCGAGCACGACGCCTCCCCGTCGCCTCGGCCCTTGCCGCTGGAGTTGTCGACGTCCTTCGTCAATGACGCCTACTTCTCCTTGCGCGGCTTTGCATCTCAATGGGGGCGACGGCTGGTCGACCAGCCACGGCCTCCCTTATTGTCGTTCTTGTCGCTGTCGTCGCGGTCAGGGCACTCGTAGGATAGGTGGTCGGGGTCGTGGCAGATCCAGCACTCCCGCCGTCGACCACCACCTCCACGGCCCTTGTCATGCGTCGACCTCTTCTCGTCGACGTCCTTCGTCGACCGCCCACCTCTGCTACCACCTCCGCCCGGCTTCCCGCGCTGCCCTTGCTTCAAATTCAGCCTCGTCAGTGCAGCGTAGTTTGCCTGTGGAAGGAGCTCCGTGGGCTGTTTGGCCTCTTGCATCGCCTCGTCTTGAAGGATGTAGTTGGTGATGGAGTCCCCGTCAAGGGACTCACGCGTGCCGGGCACCATCATCATCCTCTTCATGAGGTTGTAGCCGCGCGGCAGGCCCTTGACGATGTGGGTGATGTAGAACGCCGTCGAGTATTCGGCGCCCGCCATCCGCATCTCCGCCAGGATCCGTCGAGCACAATTGCAGTAGTCCGTCGTCGACTCCTGCTCGCCCATTTGAATGTGTGTCATCTTCTCCTCCAGCTGTCCGATGTACTAGTCATCCCTGACTTGGTACGTCGACAAGATGAAGGTGCCATGCCTGGTGACCAGCATCCAGTCGCTCTCGACAGCTCCTGAGCGCCTGCCGCACCACCGGCGAGCAACACCTCGAGATAACCATGAAGGTGAGCAAGTGAGCTGCACAAAACTTCCCGTGCAGCTTGACATAGTCCACGTGCAGAATTGGCACTGTGTAGTCGGCGATGCCCTTCAGCCCGGCGACCTCCAGCTGAGGTTCGATCGAGTCCCTCCGAGTGATAAGGTCCCGTCGACCTTGCAGCGGTGCGACGGTGATCCGGTCCCGCAAGAACTTGAAGTAGCCATACGCTGGTGCAATCCTGCCCGCCGTCACATGCGCCGTCGCCGAGAGCCCTCCACCGCTTTGTAGAGGAGAGCGACGTCGACCATCGATGATGGTACGCGAGCCGCCTGCAGCCGCCGTCGACCGCTGCGCTCGCGCGTGAATCCCGTCGACACCACCGTCGACCTTGATCACCCCTCTCTGCTTCGTGCCTTCGCTGCCGCTGACTCGTGCACCACCGTCGGCCTCGTCGTTGACGCCACCTTCGTTGCGCACCAGTCAAGGAGATGCAGGATGGGAAGGGTGTTCCATCGCCCATTGCGACCGGATGCCCAACTCGACGATCACCAAAAGGATCGTCCCTTGGTGGCCATCCACGTGGCGTCTCCGCTCGTCAGCCGAACGTGCCTCCAAGGTGTCCGCTACGCCTGCATCAACTACGGGGTCGACCATGGTGACTATCGCTGTTGTAGGCCTACGAACGACTTAGTAGGTGCAAAAGATGGCTCCTATCTGAAGGTATTTTGCGGGGGCGTCTACGCTCACCACACCATGCGGATATTCACTCTACAAAGGTAGTGAGCTAGACTACGGGGGGTTAGGCACGAACTACTAAGAGTAATCGTAGCTTTGCTTGTGTTCCTTAGCACTTGCACATTCACAGGAGAAGCTGGCAAGAGTTTCACTAGCAAAGTTGGAATTTCATAATGATTGAACAAGCAATATCAACAATGACTACATCAGGCACCTAGCAACTCTGCAGCTAGCCTGGTCGACCGCCAGCACAGCTTGGTCGACCGCCTGCGAGCGTTGCGTAGAGGAGCCGGGCCAAGACTACAAAAGGGCGGCCTACCAATACAGCAGGTCGACGGCGTGCCAATGCTGCAGCAGTGCGGCTGTCCAGCGTTGCACCCGTAGGTGGCAGCAGTGCGCACGCTCGCAGGTGCGCGCAAACGATTGGCCTGACTTGCATCGTTGTGTATCTGTCGGTTGTTGTCTGCGCTTGATGAGCCACATCGACCTCGACGACATTCGTGTGCCTTCGCAGGACTCGTCGAGCAGGTTACCCGGTCGACTTGGACACCACTAGGTTCTCTGGTCGACCACCAGTGCCTTCGGTTGACCACGAGGTGACTCTGGCCGACCACAACTCCCTCTGGTCGACCACCAGGTGCCCGTGATCAACCACAGCTCCCTCTGGTCGGCCACTAGGTGCCCCTGGTCGACCACAACTCCCGTCGAGCTACCCGCTGGTCGACGGACCCCTTCCATCAACCAGAGATGTCAGCTGTTGTTGCCGAGCTCCCCTCGTGGACCGTTGCTCACTTGTCAGGTCGACGGACTGCTCCGTCGACCTCTCGGACAAACTGCAGGTCGACAGACTGCTCCGTTGACCTCCCGGTCGAACTGCACCTCCTGGTCGACGGCCCACCCGTCGCCCAGACCAGTCAGTTGCAGCTGTCGAGCTCCCTAGTCGACAGCAACACCACAGCGGTCCCCTGCAGCTCAACGAAGCCTGTCGAGCAGCTCTCCCACTGTGAACGGTCGGCTGCTACTCCCGTACATCCAACTAAGTTGTCGGCGTTGCCCAAGCGAGGGCGGGGCCAACACTCCATTCCCGTTAACACTCCTCCTCCTCCTCCTCCTCCTCCTCCTCCTCCTCCTCCTCCTCCTCCTCCTCCTCCTCCTCCTCCTCCTCCTCCTCCTCCTCCTTCTCCTCCTCCTCCTCCTCCTCCTCCTCCTCCTCTTCCTCCTCCTCTTCCTCCTCCTCCTCCTCCTCCTCCTCTTCCTCCTCCTCCTCCTCCTCTTGCTCCTCCTCCTCCTCCTCCTCCTCCTCCTCCTCCTCCTCCTCCTCCTCCTCCTCCTCCTCCTCCTCCTTCCCCTCCTCCATCCCCTCTTCTCGCCCCTCCTCCTGCCCCTTCTCCTGCCCCCCCTTTTGCCCCTCCGCCTTCCCCTCCTCCTTCCCCCCTCCTGCCCTCCTCTTGCTCCACTTCCTACCCCGCCTCCTGCCCCTCCTCCTTCCACTCCTCTCGCCCCTCCTTCTTCCACTCCTCCTGCCCCTCCTGCTCCTCCTCGTGCTCCTCCTTCCGACCATAGGACAAGCACATGGTGCCCAGTACGGAGAAGTTTTTATAGAACAAGCACCAAAGTCAAATGTGACGTCTCTTATTAATTAAATTTGCTATTTGCAATATGGGCTATTCTCCACTTAGTTGATGAATTTGCTCAAACCCGAGCATCATTTGTATTTTCTCAAACCCGAGCATCATTTGAATTTGCTCAAACCCGAGCATCATTTGAATTTGCTCAAACCCGAGCATTATTTGTAGTGTTCGGCAACCGACATAATAATCTCAAGCATGGTTTTCTACTGTAACGATCAGTTGAAGGATTGTGGGGTACGTGCCATATCTTTATTTCATATCCTCCTTGTGTTGACCGCAGTCAAGTGTACATACATATGTGTTGGCAATAACTCCTATCACATCAGCGATGGTGCGGTAGCACCAAAATGCATCCCCCACTATTGGCATTTCGTATCGCATTGGACAACGCACCTAGAACGGTGTACGATGCTCGTGCACGAAAATCACCAATTCTGCATAGAATGCGCACATCGTGTACATTTGTGTCAAAATTAGCTTAGAACCTAGGAAACTAGGTGAGGGTGTCGAGAGTAGCGAGAGGGAAGAGGGGTTCAATAAAGAGCAAAGGTACAAAGATATAGGCAAGAACTAGGGTAATGAGGTGCACCACCAAACGGGAAACATAACTACACTAACACTACAGACAATTATATAAATATGAATAACATATTTCGACACACCCCCATAATTGTTTGTAGGTGTGAGTGTAGTAACGCCCCCTAAAGAGGGTACACCATGCAGAGTGCAGCGGAAGTAGCAGCAGTAGGCCGGAGCAGTGACAACCAGTGCAGTGGTAGCAGATTCAGCTCTAGCAACCCTGAGCCAAAGCAGAAACACAAAGCAGAAAAAGTAGCAAGTGTAGGGGCGGCAGGTCGCCTGAGGAGCAGGCTCTGTGGCTGCAACGTGCAGCAGGACAGCAGCGGCTCGACGGCAGCACCTGCAGGCCCCAGCAGCAGAAAACAAAAAACAAGGCAGGTGGCGACAGGGGCGACAGCTGGAGGTGCCACAGTAGCAGCGGGCGGCAGCAGCAGATGCCTGGCTGCAGGAGGAGGAGCCGAGAGAACGCAGAAAACAGAGAACAGAAGGGAGAGAGGAGGAATGAGGAGGCGGCTGCGGTTGGTGCTGAAGCCACGCTCCCACCACCCCCTCACCCTCCCCCCCCACAGCGACTGGCGCTGCAAGGAGAGAGCAGAGGAGGTGGGCAGCGGCTAGCGCTGCAGAGTCCCTCCCGCCACGCCTTCACCCTCCCCCCCACAGCAGGACGCACGGCCCAGCGGCAAAGAGCAGGAGCGGCGCGGGCACTGCTGCAGATCCCGTGTGAGAATAAGCGAACAGGAATGAATGAACTAGCAGTGAAATGAGTACAAGTAGGAAACCCTAGAATTGTGTACCCCCTATAGGCTAACCCACTGTAGCCTACACAAGCAGAACATATATAATGTTTGACACACCCCCATAGGCAAAGTGGGGGAGAACAAGGGGTCACAAGACCACTCAAGCAAAGCAAAGCAAGCTCAGGGTGGATCACAAAGTCACCACACAGTCCGAGCGCAAGAGCAGGGCCAGAGGCCAGTTCACATGCAGGAGTACAGACATATATATAAAACTAGACAAGCAAGAGCAGGTATATATATATGTCACAGTACAAGTGAAGTCAAGAGGAGAGCAAGTGAGGTAAGACAGGCACAAGACCCAGCTGGGTGCAAAAGCGCTGATGGTCACAAGGCGCGAGTGCCTTGGTGAACACATCAGCAGTGTTGGCCTCAGAGGCCACGTACGCAAGTCGCAACTGACCACGCTGCTGCAGCTCACGAGCAAGGAAGTAGCGGAGAGCAATGTGCTTCGTTCTGTGCTCCAAGCGCTGCTCTCGACACAAGGCCAGCATGGCCTTGTTGTCTACGTACAGCACTGGAGGAGAACGAGGTGGCTCTCCAAGGTCAGTCAGCAGGTAGGTGAGCCAGCGAAGCTCCTGTGCAGCCATGGCCCCGGCGTAGATCTCAGCCTCACAACTGGAGCCGAGAACCGAAGACGAGCGAGTAGACCGCCACGAGACAGAGCCGGAACCAAGGCTGAAGGTGTAACCCTGTGACGACCGCTGCGTAGCCTGGTCGTCAGCCCAAGAAGCGTCCGCGTGGCCGGTAAGGACCACTGGACTCCGCCCTCCAAGCACTAGCCCCATGCCCGACGTACTGCACAGGTAGCGCAATACCCTCTTCGCTGCAGCCATGTGCTCTGGTCTGTGTCTCCCAGGAGCAACATAGCGTGCAAGAATGCTAAGAGGGTATGCAAGGTCAGGTCGTGTGCAGGTCATCAGGTACATGAGGCAGCCAACAAGCTCTGCATACGGACCACTCGACTCTACGGACTCATCCGAAGGCAGAGCTGAGAGTGAGTGGCGAGTAGGCAGAGGAGTGGCCTGAGGCGAGGAGTACGTGAAGCCAAAGCGCTGAAGGACCTGCTGCACCATGTGTGACTGATTCAAGGTAATGGTGCGGCGTGCTCTGTCCCGAGTGATCTGCAAGCCAAGGTAGCTGCGCAGTTCACCCAGGTCTGTGCACGTGTGTCTCTTCAGCAGTTCGTACTTCACGTAGGCGAGTCCAGCAGTGTCCGCTGTGGCAAAGACCAAGTCGTCGACGTACACGAGGATGTAGAACGGCGGCAGTGAAGTGTCGGTGCGCAGAAACAGCGACGGGTCAGCAGTAGAAGGAGCAAACCCAAGAGCCGCAAGCGTAGTCCTCAGTGTGTCGTGCCACTCACGCGGTGCCTGGCGGAGACCGTAGACTGGCCGTCAGAGGCTCCACTGGGTGCCAGGAGGGAAAGTCCCAGTGAAGCCAGGTGGACGGCGCAGCCAGATCTCCTCGTGCAGGCTACCCTGCAGGAACGCAGTGCTGAAGTCGAGAGAGTGAAGCTCGTAGTCGCGCTGAGCGGCTATGTGCAGCAGCACCCGAAGAGTGGTCATCTTCGGGGTGGGAGAGAAGGTCTGAAAGTAGTCAACTCCCTGCCGCTGACTGAAGCCACGAGCAACGTACCGTGCCTTGAAGACAGGTGGAGAGCCCGGCGGCCGCTTCACCCTGAAGATCCACATGCCACTGACGATGTTCGCCCCAGGAGGGGGAACCGCGTCAACGTAGGTGCCTGTGGACTTCCAGGAAGCCATCTCTGCATCCATAGCTGCCTGCCACTGAGAGGAGTAGGGACCCTCTACGGCCTCCGCGTAAGAACGCGGAGTCGGGATGTCTAGTGCATCCGGGTCTCCCTCAGGGGCAAGCAGTACAGACGCGAGATGAGGTGAAGCAGCCGCTAGACACTGTAACTCCTCCTGCCTGTCCTCTAGGACGTCCGTGCCAAGAGCACACTCACCCCCGACGGACGGAGGACAGACAGACGCAGACTCAGCAACAAGACTAGCAGCGTAGTCGAGACGACAGCGAGCAGCAAAGTCAACGAGCTCAGCGACTAGAGCAGACGCAGCAGTGGACTCAAAAGAGGGGTCAGTGACGACAGTAGCAAGCAGACGCGTGACAGTAGGACTGGCAGCGCGAAGAGAGTCCGACTCAGGGTCGGCAAGCGCAGGAAGAGAGGACTCAGGAGGAGAAGGCAAAGGGGCACGCAGAGGAGCAGTGGACGGACGCAGAGACATCCGGTGCGTGCCAGGGACTGGAGGAGGACGCTGACGCGAACCGCGACCACTAGCGCGAGCAGCACGAACCGGCGACGCGGGACGAGACGCAGGCTCACGACGCTCAGCAAGACCTCCAGTAGGACCAGTGTAAGGAGAGGGAGCAGGCAGAGGAGAGGAAGGCTCCAACAGTGACTGCGACTGGACAGGCTGTGGACACTCTACCGAAGGAGCAAGACCAAGAACCTGTTGGAGGAGCGGAACGAAGTACGGCCGAGGCCGCGCGGCAGCTCCAGACTCAGCAGGGACAGCACCAGCACCCTCAGCGACAGCACCAGCGCCACCAACACCTCCAGCGGCAGGACCTCCAGCAGCACCAGCAGCAGAACCACCGCCAGGACAGACAGCAGTAGTCTCAGCACCAACACCCTCAGCAGCTCCAGCTCCAGTAGGACCCGCAGGCCCAGCAGCTCCGGGACCGGCAGCACCAGCACCCTCGACGGTCGACGAAGCTCCAGCTCCAGCAGCACTCCTCCAACGGCGAGCAAACCACTCGCGCAGCTCCTGCGGAGAGAGGGGCTCCCGGCGAGACGCAGCAGCAGGAGAAACCCCAGGCTCAGCAGCTCCAGACTCAGCACCCCCAGGCACAGCAGCTCCAGACGTAGCACCCCCAGGCTCAGCAGCTCCAGACTCAGCACCTCCAGGCTGAGTAGCTCCAGCTCCAGTAGGACTCGCAGGCCCAGCAGCTCCGGGACCGGCAGCACCCTCAGCAAGCGAAGAAGCTCCAGCTCCAGCAGCACGCCTCCAGCGGCGAGCAAACCACTCGCGCAGCTCCTGTGGAGAGAGCGGCTCCCGCCCAGCAGTCGCAGGCTCCGCACCTCCAGGCTCAGCACCCCCAGGCTCAGCAGCTCCTGACGTAGCACCCCCCGGCTCAGCACCCCCAGCAGCAGCACCCCCAAGCTCAGCACCCCCCGGCTCAGCACCCCCAGCAGCAGCACCCCCAAGCTCAGCACCCGCAGGCGTAGCACCCCCAGACTCTGCACCCGCAGCAGGACCAGACTCAGCAGCAACCTCGACTGGCTCGACTGTGTCTACCTGGGACACACCTGAAGGGGCAGGAACCTGAGGGGGGAGGGGGTCTACCGGGGGGGGAACTGGCACCAGGATGTCCGGTGGGGGGGGGAGGGAAGGAGTACGGTAGGGGAAGAGGCGGTAGAAGGGGACTGACTCGTCGAACGTGACGTCCTGGGAGGACAGAACACGACGAGAGGAGGGGTGGTAGAACTGCCACCCTGGAGCGTCAAGGGGGAAGCCAAGGAAGACACAGGGAGCAGCACGGGGGGACAGCTTGTCCGCAGACAAGTCGCGGACAAACGCCCGAGATCCCCAGACACGGAACGCAGACGCATCGCCGACCTTCCCCGTCCACAGTAACACTGGGGACATCGCGGGCCGAGAGACCCTGGGGTGAAGGTTGAGCTGATGCGCCGCGTACCGAACCGCAAACGGCCACAGAAAATGGGGGGCAGCCGCATGCATCATGGACGTACGAGCG